CACGCGCTTTAGACAACTGGGCGGTGCCCTCGTGCACCTGTATGGACGCGGTCTCCACATTGGCCTCAATGCTGTCGATCACCTCTCCCTGTTCTTTAAACCATATCTTTTAATGTAATCTAATAATAATTATTATTAATACTATTAGTTGTGTATTTGAATATAAAACTCAACAAATTGTTAATGAATTCATAGCTAAACTCCGGAATTCAAACTCCTTTAAAACCAGTAAATATTTTTCTCCCATTTTATGAATTGTTTGACATTTTATACCCAAAAAATAATAATTGTTTGAATTTTGTTTTTATTATTTTTGCGAAAAATATGTTACACTTTAACTTTTATAGACAACTATTAAGTACTGTGAAAAATGAAATACTATTTATTGTATAAAAACAGATTATTATAATAATTAAATCTACTTTTAATTGCTATTTAAGTTACGATTTAACTGTATTTAACATGTAGTGCAAGAATTTATGTTTATTTTTATTATGTAATAAAAACTAGCGTTTAATTGGCTTTAATTTTCCAATTCATTAGTATTAAAGAAATTAATTTTTGTAAAACTTATAATATAATTGATTATAAAATAATTTAATATATAAAACAATTTGTAAATTAACAGAAATATGTTTTAGAAAAGTTTATTTTAAGTTTGCTTTAAGTATTGTTTGGGCGCCCTTTCCATAGTAATACACATGTATTAAATATTACAATGTTTTTACATATAATTAATTTATTTAATGAAAAAAACAAAATTATGTCAATTTTTCATATGAAATAAAAATTAGTTTTAATTTGAAATGAATTTAAACGTGTATTGAATTGAATTAACCATAAAATACTTTACAATACATTACAAACTCAAGCGATAGATATTGTATAAAGTGAGTGATAGTGTCGGCCGTCGTATAACTCGCACATCATTTATGAGGCAAAATTCAAACACCCATTGAATGCAAACACCATTTGTTTGTTTTCGTTATCTTGTCTTCAGTTGTCTTCAGTCGTGTCTGTCATCTATTGTGTCAACACGTGATCCACACGACTGTCAAAGAGTGGAAGAATGGTATCAAATGGCGGACAAACGGTCGCCACGAAGAAGAAGAGGGCGAAGAGGAAGTCGCCGAAGGCGTCCACAAAGACAGCCATCAAAGAGCCGCCCATTAATGTTGAGACCACGGATCAGACGGAGACAACAGAGACAGGAGGTATGTGTTTGTGTGTTGTCAATGAACTATCACCTGATCTGATCTCATTGCTTATGCCTCTATGATTGGCAGCTCATATGCGGTACTTGAGGTATATTAGTCTCAGCGAAGATAATGTGCAGCCGTTTGGCGCGGAAGAGGACCGGAAGGCCATCAAACAGAGCCATAGGAGTTGCAGGAAGTCATCGGCGAGCGGTCACCGCAAGTCCGTCGCCGTCCCCGCCGTTGACCGCAATGGAGACACAGATATAGCCGTCGATAAGAAGAAGGCGTCCAAAGGGAGGCCCCGGAAGAAGAAGAAGTTGGCGTCGATCCCAAAACCGACGCCAAAGGACACGTTAGACACTGACACACCACCGATGCCAGTGTCTAAACTGCGGACATTCGCACAGTTGGCCAAAGAGGTATGTCTTTTGATTTTGATATCTTTATGTATTTTGTTATTAATTGTTTAACTTTTTGTATATTTTATTGAATCTCAGCTCAAAGTCTTTGATATGAATGTCGAAACTGTTGATCCAATTGTCAAAACTATTGATCCAATTGTCAAAACTGATTATAATATATTGAAAACAGTGGCCGCAGAAGAATGTGTCGCCACTGAAGACCCAATTATTGAGAACATTGTTAGTGATTGTGCGGACATTTCTAGAGATAATGCACACAATGTTATAGACTGTGAAAACACTGTTAAAGATAATGACATCGTTAGAGATAATGAAGACATTGTAGACAATGAAGACGTTTATAAAGACTGTGAGGAAACAATTATAGACAATGAATACATTTGTAATGATAATGAAGACGTTGTCGAAGATATCGAAAGCATTATAAAAGATACTGAAGATATTACTATAAATAATGAAGAGACTGCGAAGAATAGTGCGGATCCAATCGGTGATAACGTTGACACTGTTAGTGAAAGTGTGGCCACTGTTTGTGATACGGCAGTCACTGTTGAAGAGGACGTGAGCGCCAATTGTGTGCGTCGGTCGAGACGTCTGAAGAAAGTGACGGAATTGTATTCCAGCGAAGAAGTGGACAAAAGTAATCGTCGGCCGAACGCTAACACAATGGCAGAACTGATTGTTAGCGTTTCGGCCACCGATGCCGACGAGCCGTCAAAGACTAGATCCAAGGCATCGAAACCGAAGGCACAAAAAGAGAGCCCGAAGTCGAAGACAGAGAAACCGTCGAAAGTGGCGAAGACATCGAAACCAAAGATCGAGAAGAAGACAAAGAGTAAACGGCGCGGAAGTATTGGCGGCAAGAATATCGGCAAACTGTTGGCCGACTACAGGCGCCGCATACCTGAGCACCAAAAGCGGCTCAAATACGTGGAAATGGATCCCAATATCGATATACTGTACAAAAAGATCGGTTTGGTGTCCACACGTCTGTCGGCGATACCCGAAGCGCAGGACGAATGCTATAAATGATTAATTACTA